CAAATAGGTAGTATAGAACAAAGCTCAAATAGGTTCGGGGGTTTACAGTAAGCACAAATATTCACTCTCTTCTTCTCATAGAAGATATGTTAGTTTTTATGCACAGTAATGCACGCCACCATATTGCGGCCGTAGGTGTGGAATACCTTCGAGACGTTGAAATCAATGCTATAGTTTGGCCAGCGAGCTCGCCTGATTTAATGTATAGGATTAGCTTGGAAGTCAAATTAAGAAAATAAATCCTGACCCGGTAATTTGAGAGATCTTTAAAACGCATTACAGGAATAATGGAATGCAATCTCTCAAGTTTAATTGATAACTTGATTAGGAGTATGCCAAGGAGACTGGAAGTAGTTAAGTACTGATTATAGCCCACATTATAAAATAAAAAAAAATAAAAAAATAAAAATAAAAATTATTTATTTCGGACAACAAGATCCATAGAATTTGTTAGTAAAGAAAAACTTACATCTATGTTAGTCAATCAATCAATCAATCAATTTCGTTTATTCAGTTTAGGCACATAAAGAGCACATATGAACGTCAAAATTTTACAATCATGTCAAGAAACAATTAATATAATATTAAATAAAGTAAATAAATCATTTGAAAATGATTCTTTCGCTGGTTCGGTAAGTTGGTTTAAAATTACTATTAAATAAACTCAGTGAACAGTTTTATATAACGTTTCTTTCTTTTTTTAAACAATGTGTTTTTTTTTTTTTAACTGATTTATATTGTGCGAGCAAGCAAAAAGATTAGGAAGACCATGGATTTTTATCTTTGAGGTATTCGTCTACTTTATAATATCCTTTTTTCATTAAACACTTTTTTACTTCTATTTTAAACTTATTTAGTGGCATGTCAACCAGGTCCTGAGGAATTTTATTAAACATTTTTATACTGTTACCTACAAACGAATTACCAAACTTATGAAGTCTGAGTTTTGGCACTACAAGTTTATTTTTATTTCTCGTATTATAATTGTGTACGTCAGAGTTTTTTTTGAAGAGATCTAGGTTCTTGCGTACATATAAGACATTATCGTAAATGTATTGGCAAGCAACTGTTAAAATATTAATTTCTTTAAATAGTTCTCTCAGCGAGTCGCGGGGTCTGAGGCTATATATAGCTCGTATCGCTCGTTTCTGTAATATGAAAATAGTCTCAATATCGGCAGCTGAGCCCCACAGCAGCAGACCATACGACATAACGCTATGAAAGTAGCTAAAATAAACTAATCGTGCCGTTTTCTCATCAGTCAGTGACCTTATTTTTCTAACCGCATAGGCAGCTGAGCTAAGTCTTCCTGCCAAGGCTGAGATATGAGAACCCCATTGCAGTTTACTATCTAGAGTCATTCCAAGAAAAACTGTGGTATCGACTATTTGAACAGATTCATCGTTCATTGTAATATGAGTATCTATCTGTCTTACATTAGGCATAGTAAACTTTACACATTTCGTTTTCTTCGCATTGAGCAGCAAGTTGTTACTTGTGAACCAATGCACTATTTTAGAAAGGGTGTTATTCACATCGTCAAGTAATTCTTTATGTCTATCAGTTTTAAAAATTAATGATGTGTCATCAGCAAATAACACTATTTCACAAAGATTTTTAGTGAAGTGAGGAAGATCATTTACATATATCAAGAATAAAAGGGGTCCTAATATCGAGCCCTGGGGTACTCCCATGACTAATGGGGCGCCAGATGAGTTAGTGTAGTTAATATTGACTTTTTGTACTCTACCAGTGAGGTAAGATTTAAGTAAGCTAAGTGATCTGTTGCTCATGATCAACACAATCAAAAGCTTTTGATAGATCACAAAAAATACCGATGGCATCCCGCTTCTTGTCCCATGCATCAAATATATGTTTAACGAGTTCAACTCCTGCATCCGTCGTGTTTCTGCCTTTAGTGAAACCGAACTGTTTCTCATGAAGTAACTTATTATAAGTGAAATGTGAAAGCAGTTGATTAAATATAATTTTTTCAAAAATTTTGCTGAGTGCTGGGAGTATAGAGATGGGCCGAAAATTTGATGGATCACTTTTGTCCCCTGCTTTGAATAATGGAATGATTTTACTGTACTTCATGAGTGTGGGAAACTGTTTATCATCGATACATTGGTTAAATATGAATGCAAGATAAGGGGCAATAGCGGGCATTACTGATTTTATTATATTGGTTGAAATGCCCCAAAGATCCTCAGTCTTTTTTATATTTAGTTGCTTAAAAGTTTTAAGTACGGTTGCGGTGTCAATATACTGAAAATCAAAGTTAACACTACATTTATCAACGCAAGATTCAAGAAGAGAAGCAGCTTCGGTTTTTGAAGATTTTAGTTTACTAGTAGTGGTAATTGGAGCATTTGTGAAAAAAGATTCAAATGCAATGGCCACTTCAGCATCAGTATTGATGTGTTTATCATCTATTTCTAATTCGAAGGATCGATCACGTGACCTTGTTTTACAGGTTTCTTTGTTGATAACATTCCATGTTGCCTTAATTTTGTTATCAGATTTTTGTATTTTGGCCCGGATATAATTAGATTTGGCCATTGAACAGACTTTCTTAAACATTTTTGAGTACTTTTTAGTATGTTCAATGATTTGTGGATCATTTGTACATGCCTTTGTCTCGTATAATTCGTACAAATTCTTTCTACTCTTATAAATTCCAGGTGTAGTCCAATCACTAAATTTAATTTTGAGTTGATTAGTATTAATTGTTTTTTTTTGTGAAAATGTTATTAAATTCGTATTTGATTACTCCGAACAAATCTCCGTATAGATCATTCGGGTTATCAGCAGTATTTGGCTCCAAAAGAGGTACCTTATTGTTAATATTTTCTTTAAATTTTTCTAAACGATATGTTGTGATTGGTCTACATACAATATTTTTAGGCAATGGAACATGTTGGTGCTGAAATCTAGCTAACTGACCTACATGATCTGATTTTATGAACTTTATTATAGATTTGTCGTTTACATCGCTGTCAGTAAAAATATTATCCAAGCAGGTAGCTGTTGTGGATGTGGTGCGAGTTGGTTCACAAAAAAGATTTTGCAAGTTAAAAGATTTAAAAAGATTGAGGAACCTTAACGCATTCTGGGAGTTTTCTAAGATATCAACATTAAAATCGCCACATACAACTACCCTCTTCTTACATTTACATGCCTTTTTTAGGGTTTCTTCCATAATAGATTCAAATAGGTGGCAATCTCCGGAAGGAGGCCGATAGACGCTAATAATAATATATTGATCAAGCTCTGCACATGATATTTCAATATTTCGCTCACTTGAGAGTGCTACAATATCTTTTCTTTCTTTAGATTTTAATTTGTCATTAATTAAAATGAGTGACCCACCTCTTATAGCGGTATCTCTAGTAAACGAACTAATGATTTTATAATTGTCAATATTAATTAAAAGTTCATGTTTTTTTAACCAGTGTTCAGTTACACAAAGTACATGAATATGCATTATATTTAAAAATAATTCTAGTTCTAACTCTTTGCCAGAAAAGCCCTCAATATTTTGATGAATAATATTCATGAACATAGACTTTTCCTTTGTCCCTAAAATTAAATTGCTAGAGATTTCCTCTATTGTCCTAGAATTAAATTTAAATGACTGTCACTCTTATTTGGAACAGATTCCAAGGTCGCAAGACAAACATTGTCATTTATCTGCTCAATAAAAGCAGGTTGGTTAGCCAAATTCTTGGCTGAGTATTTAATATAATATGATAGCGAAGATGCTATCTGTCTCTTAAAATATCTATTCAAATAGAATTTATCTTTTGTCAATAATAATTTATTTTCTAAATATAAGTTTATGTCAATTAAATGAAATTTATTTGAATTATGAAATGTCAATGTATGTAATGTTTGATTGAGCTTATATCTAATATTGTTTTCTGCCTGTGACAAACTACGGCTATATGGAAGTGTGAATAAAATTATATTTTTAACATTTAATAAGCTCAATGATTCAAAACAATTCATAAGAGCATTTCTGTCTGCATTTCCCCTGTCTCCCACTAAAATTAAAAGTGTACCGCTGCTGTTTAAACTATGATTCTTAATTTTTTCAATAATGGTACAGTAACTTAAGCCCGGCATACAATAGTTAATTACTTTGTGTTCTAAATATGAACTTAATAGCTGGCCCATTGATTCCCCCAATTCATCACAAAACATCACTATTTGAGATTGTACATTATTTTGTTTATTAGTTTGTTCGGTGAAGGAGCTACTGGGTTTCTTATTTGGCTCATGTGAAGGACTTTTGTGTGAAGTTAGCGAGGACTTACAAACTGGCTGAGGACTGAGTAAATTGTCTTTTGATGCCAATATAGAATTTGTTCTCATCAGATCCTTCATGGCCAGAATGTATTCCTGATACTCACTTTTAACATTACAATATTTGTTGATCATTATGTCTAGCGAATTCTTTAAATTATTGATCTCCGTTTCTAACATTAATATGTTACTATTGTACTCAGATATGTTATTTTCAATTATTAAAGAATACATATCAAGTTCATCACCTAATTGCCTTCTCTCATTAATATATTTTACTTTTTTATGCATACATTTTTGTCTTTTAATCAAATTTTGAGTTTTTCTTATGTATCTATTAATTTTTACATATTTCTTAAGTTTATTTCTACTGCACTCAACTCTGCCCATCTTAGGATAAGAATTATGAGCTATAAAAGTATCATCCTTTGTTAAATCTATAGTAATAGTGGGTTCCAAGTTAGGTTCAGTAGAAACAAGACTGGGCACACTACCGACTAATTCCTCAAACAAGTTATGGGTATGGGATACTATAGTGTCACGTTTTTCAGCCTCAAGGTTGTTAATGTGGTGGTGAGCTTCTTGCAGTTCCTGCTCTAAGATTGACATGCGCTTGAGGCCCTGCTCGTACTCATCGCTGCACTCCCTAAACCCAGCCACAACATTATACACAACAGTAATATAATTTATACTCAATACTTTATTATTAAACAGGACATAGTCCTGGCGATCATTTGTTTAATCAGTGGACAGTCCCCACTGTCGGCAATCTCACTCAGCACACTGTGTCCGCTGCCGCGCACTCTGTTTAGCAAGGATGCGGTCTTTTTTCTGATTATTGCATCAAAGCTATCCACACCCGCTAGTGCAAACATCGCAGACGCGCTACAGTAGCGCGGCAGCCGCAACAGCGCCCTAAATGCATTATTGTATTGAGTACGTAGGGCACTATAGGCCTTTTTGGTGTAGTTGGTCCATAGGCTGCAAGAATAAAATGACGCACAATATGCTTTGAAAAGCGTGATCTTGACAGCGTCAGTGCAGCGACCAAATCTATGCACCAACATATTCGCCCTGACCGACAGTGCCCTACGTTCTCTTTCAATGTCTTCATCGTCTTTAAGACTGTCAGTCAAAATATGTCCAAGATATTTAAAACTATAGACCCTTTCTAGTGGTTCGTTATAGAGCTTTATAGGGGGTACAACACTAGGACATCTACTGCCAGCCTTAAACACCATGAACTGTGACTTTTTGGTATTGTATTGTAAACCATGTGAGACAGCAAACTTTTCGCAAACACCGAGTAAAGCTCTCAGCGCACTAACTGAGGGTGCCAGCAGAACCATATCGTCCGCATAGCTGTTATTATTCACACAGACCTTGCCGATATGGCATCCGACACGCATGCTGCTGAGCTCTCGAATCAGTGCGTCCATATACAGGTTGAAGAGCCTCGGCGATGTCAGCCCCCCTTGCCTCACCCCGCACTCCATCCTGTACGGCTCGGAATATTCATTTGCCCATCTCACATAGTTCACCTGATTACTATACCAATATTTAAGCAAATCGGTGTAGCCGTCAGGTAAAGCTACGCCTTCTAACTTACGCCACATGATGTCGTACGAGACAAGATCGAAAGCTTTACTCAGATCTAGGAAACAGGCGTACACCGGTGTGCGCCTGTCCGTGTAATATTTGACAGTATGCTTTAAACTCATTATTGCTGTTTCTGTCGATAGACCACGCGTAAAACCGTGCTGACCATCATGTAGCGTACAGTGGTTTTCTAGAATAGAGTTATGCACACTGTCAAATATCTTGGCTATTGTCGTTGCCAATGATATAGCCTTTCTTAAGTATTTATGAAAGAAATTAATAAAATGGTAAGTACAAAAATGTTTATTTCCTGTAAAAATTTTCTTTTTTTCTTTATTGGATAAAATTTTCGTTCTTTTGCTTTTTTCGACGTTTGCAATTTTAAATTAACGAATAATAAGCAAAATCCAAATTAATAATCTTAAGTGTCACAAATATCCATGATGTTTTGTGTTATACATACATTTCTTTGCGTTCCTTTAAATTTTAAATTTTAATTGGTAAAAAGGAACGGAACATGGAGGAAAAGTACATTAAACGTTGAGGATATAAAATTTGCCTCAAAGGAAACATTCGTTTGTTTTTCAAAATAGGATAAACCATTTTTTTGAAAGCTTACCTGAGCTCGGAATCTAACCAACTAAAAATGCACAAAAATATATATAGTTCACAAATTAAAATGTTCTATTTTTAAACTTCGTCTAAAAATGGCTATACTTAAATAATAAATAATATTTGTAATTGTCTGTATTTTATAAATTAAGTTTCATACATACATTTTTTTCTTTTATTTAGGTACTTGTACTTTCTTCTGTTTAGGTACTTTTATTTAGGTATATAGGACTACTAGATGTTAGTGTGTACTAATTGTTAGGTTTCGTGGTCATTTATAATTGTAAGATACAGTGTTTATTCGAAAGATTTTATCCTTATCATGGACCCTACCTATAGGTTCAATAAAAAAGCGACAGTCTTTTTTTGCATTGTTTGTTGGTTCGATTCCCAGCTCAGGTAACCTTTTTAGAAATATGTTTGGATGTGATTATTCCTATTTTGGAAAAAAAAGGAATGTTTTCTTTAAGAAGAAATTTGATATCTTCAATATTTAATGTACTTTTCCTCCATGTCCCGTTCGTTTTTGCCACCCTGTAATAATACACACACACATATATATATATGTATAAACCGTTACTTCCACACCGGAATTTTCTCCAGTATGGTAGTTGCCGTTTACATACATTTCACAAACACAAACATCCAGACCCGGAACAATTATTTATAGGCCATAAAAATACTTGTTGCGTACCAGGTTCGAACCCGTTCAGTGCTGCATCTCATTGCTGAGCCGTCAAGCTACAATTATGCAACGGGAGGCTGTCAACAGGCCAAGATGGAAACAACTTTTATTACGGGAATTTATCAATTTATTAACAGTGGTAGAGCCACGCGGCAGCTTTTGCTGTCGCACGGATGGGCCGGCTCGAACCGGGGTGGTACCACGACCTCACAGAAAACCAGCGTGAAATAGCGGTTTACCTCTGCGTTTCGCTTGGTGAGTGCAGGTGGCCGGAGGCCCTTTTTACTGGAAATGAGGCATTCCATCTTAGTCCTCACGGGTGACAACGCATTTACATTTTGATTTGTAATAGAGGATAGATGTAGATGACTATAGGCCGCAGCCACCACTTACCATCAGGTGGACTGTGTGCTCGTTTGTCACCCTTATCCTATAAAAAAAAAATCAATTTTTTTAAAACTTTTATTACGGGTAATTTTGATTATAAAAAACTAAGTCAGCAATTCCTAGATGGCGTCACTGAGATATGTGCTATTTTTTCTTAATTTTTTGATTGCTAATAGCAAAGGAACATGACACCATATACAATTACCATAACAAAATATTTTTTCCGAAATCTACATTTAGGTTATACATAATTTATTAATCATTTTCTCACATTAATCACATATTATGCCACAATCATCATTACAGCTATTTACAAGTCCACTGCTGAATTTAGGTTAACCAAGGAACACCACAAAACACGGTGCCTGCTTGACTTACCAGTTTGTCACTACATCTAGTGCAGGGCTCTTTACTTCGTTTACCGCTATGAGACAGCCGCTCGAAAAGCGTTCTTCCCATAAGTTGTCGGTTCTTTGAATTATATTATAGCCGGCTCATTGCTAGTCTGATTCTACTGCAGATATCTTTATTTCGAATCCTATCATGCAAAGAAACTCCGAGCATAGTGTTTTATAATTATAGTATCTGCGAAAAACGTGTTACAGACACCAAGGTGATTCCATAAATGTTTCACTTTGATAATGTGGGCTCAGAAATTGACTGATAATGTTTCTTTATCGTAATCCACTCAAGTGAAGCCGCAGGATAATACAATAATAGTAAATTTCAAAGGAAATGTACAATTTTAGTGCCGATATAATGACATACTCCAGACCGAATTTGGTCACGGTGCCCAGTCTTAACGGAAAATATAGTACCCGAGTGTATGCGCAGGTACAATTGCACTTTTTATTTTCTCACTCTCATAGTCCTATGGGACGGTAATCCAACACGACCAGAGAGAGATCAGGCGCAGGATTAACGGCGTTTACGTTCTTCCGCCGTGTAGTGACGGTTAAGAATATCCACTACCCCATATCTTCCCGTGGGTGTCGTAAAAGGCGACAAAGGGAAACAGGCAGGAGATGGGCAGCAGCATCTTCCTGATAACAGCAAAAATACAATAAAAAAAAACTGCGGTTGCCAACCCGCTCGCCAAGCGTGGCAACTATGGAAAATACCCCCATATGAATGTAACAAAGAGACGGCCCTCAGTCCCCGGCGGCACCGCTATTCCTGGCTACGGTGGCGACCATGGTAACGGCGGAGCAGGGGGTGCTAAGAATCTCCGGTGGAAGTTCGGTTGCCACCTACAACGACTCGACCTGGCAACGTCGAGAAGATCGTGGTGCTGGAATAAGAGATAGACAAGTTACGCTGGCATATTATAGGATTATCTGAAGTCCGAAGAGAGGGGGAGGTCACGGTAATCCTCGAATCCGGCAACTTGCTCTATCACCGGGAGGGCGACCATCTGTCCCAAGGAGGTGTCGGATTTATCGTCCACAAGTCTCTCGTTAACAACGTTGTAAAGATGGAGTGTGTCAACGAGGGTTGCGTACATTATACTCAGAATCACCAAACGGTATTCGATGAAGGTCATATAGGTTTACGCACCAACCTCGGCACACCCCGATGAGGAGGTGGAGGAAATGTATGAGGATATCTCTAGAGCTATGCATTCCTCCAAAACCCAATATACGGTGTTAATGGGAGACTTCAATGCAAAACTAGGTACAATAGAGAACGGTGAGCTGAAAGTAGGGAAATTTGGAATAGGGCAACGGAACCCAAGAGGCCAGCAGCTGGCCGACTTTATGGAGAAAGAAGGACTCTTTATGATGAACTCTTTCTTCCAGAAGGGGCCTAACAGGAAGTGAACCTGGTCGAGCCCCGGTGGTTTGACAAAAAGTGAGATTGACTTCATTGTGACGACCAGACGACAACTGGTCAGTGATATCTCCGTGATCGCCAGGGTGAAAACTGGTAGCGATCACCAAATGGTTAGAGGCACACGGAACCTAAATGTTAAGTTGGAAAGGTCTTGTCTGATGAAGTCAACGCTCCGTCCCCCTCGTGGTCTAATCCAAAGTCCCGAAACCTTTCAGCTCTAGTTACAAAACCGTTTTCAGTGCCTAGAAGACTGCAATGAAGTGGACGATATGAATGACAAGCTCGTGGAAACTGTCCATGCGGTCGGAGCTAAGTTCTGCAAAACCCGCCGCAGAAGAATACAAAACTCTCCGATCACACTCTTAATCTCTGGCTGTTAGACGGGAGATGAAGCTACATTCTTCAACAGATTTGACAGCATACAGGCAACTGAACAGACATATCTCTTACTTACGCAACATCAATACAGCTTGTATTGAAGAAGCGATCCAGCGGAACCAAGGCTCTAAAGTCTTTGCCACAGATCTGTCTGCCAAAAAGAGCCAACTGTCAAGGCTAAAGACCGAGTGTGGCAGCATCGTTTCCGGGGCACCTGAGAAATTGAGTGAGATTCAGAGGTTCTATGGGCAGCTGTACACGTCATCGTTGGAGCCACACGCAAGTGTGAGTAACGATCCAAGAGCGAGTCTTATTATATATAGCCGACACTATTCCGAAGATATCCCGGACTTCAGTCTGAGCAAGATTAGAATGGCTCTCCAGCATCTTAAAAACGGCAACGCCCCAGGCGAGGATGGAATTACAGCGGAGCTTCTGAAAGCAGGTGGCAAACCGGTACTTGTCCTCCATGGCGGCATTACACCGGAGGTGTGGAGCGGAAGTGTGGTGGTCTTGTTCTTCAAGAAAGGCGACAACGCTCTCTTAAAGAACTACAGACCGATTTCCCTTCTGAGCCGCGTCTACGTGCTGTTTTTAGAGTCATTACGAATCGTCTCACGCGCAGACTTGACGACTTCCAGCCAACCGAACAAGCCGGTTTCCGAAAGGGCTTTAGCACCATAGACCTTCGGCAAGTTGTACAGAAGTCCGAGGAGTACAATTTGCCACTATGTTTGGCGTATGTGGACTATGAGAAAGCCTTTGATTCCATCCAAATTTGGACGGTGCTGCAGTCCCTTCAGCGGTGCCAAGTTGACTGTCGGTATATTGAATTGCTGAATTTCTTGTATAGTAGGGCTATGATGGCTATCCGAGTGCGTGTTGCCAGTGATGACTTACGGATCTGAGACATGGTCCTTCACTGCTGGTCGTATGAGGAAGCTCAAGGTCGCTCAGCGAGCTATGGAGAGGGCTATGCTAGGGGTTTTTCTGCGTGATAAACTTAGAAATGAGGATATCCGCAGTAGAACCAGAGTAACCGACATAGCCCAACGGATTAGTAAGCTGAAGTGGCAGTGGGCCGGCCATATAGCTCGAAGAACCGACCACCGATAGGGAGGAAAGGTCCTTGAGTGGCAGCCTCGTACCGGTAGGCGAAGTGTAGGGCGACCCCCCACGAGATGGAGTGACTACCTGGTAAAACATGCAGGAAGTCGATGGATGCAGGTGGCTCAGGACCGTGCTTTGTGGCATTCCTTGGGGGAGGCCTATGTTCAGCAGGGCACTTATAAAAGGCTGTAATGATGATGATGATGATGACGTTCTTTCCGATGCAAGGGTTTAAAACACCGCCAAATTCCTGGATGAAAACCAAATAACTGATTTTGGCTCGACCCGGGATTCGAACTCGAAGCCTCATGATCAGCAATTACGTTACGTGCTTGGCGGTGAAAAAAAAACATGGTAGGTAACCTGCATATCTGAGACATTAAAAATATTTAGAGGATTTGTGAAGTCCAAAATACTGTCGGAAATGCGAGAACGTCTCAACTGTAGAGGTGAGGAGGGCGCTAATCGCATTATTGGCCTCCTCCGATGAGTCTATCTCGTCTGGGATTTTGTTTAAGTGCTAGGAGGTCGTAGATTTGAGTTTGACCTCGAGTTTACGCCAGTCCACGGTAGTTTTGATCTGAAAGTCCGCATCTGCGGGCTGGCCCAGCTGCAATAGGACTGGTCTGTGGTCCGAGTCGAGCTCTAATTTTGTTTCAATTGATGGTATCGACGTCGACGTCTTTGAGTATCGCTACGTCAAGGACGTCCGGTTGGTGATTGGCAGCGAATGGGTAGCGGGTTGGAGTCTCCGGCACGATAACATCGAAGTTTATTCGCTCCGTGAGATCGAAAAATGCATTACCATTGGGATTGCTTGTAAGTGAGTTCCAGGAGGAATGCTTGCTGTTGAGGTCTCCATCTATTAGGACATTGGAGCCTAGGCTAAATAATGCTGCAAAGTCTGTTTCAACTATGCGTTTGAGTGGCGGTAGGTAAGCCGATACGATGGTAAGTGGCGAATGGCCAGAGAGTGCTACCCTACAAATAGAAACTTCTATGTTGGTTAACGAGGGGGCGTCGATTGGTACGCAGTGCAAGGACCTTTTGTAGTAGATCAAGGTGCCTTCTCTAGGGCTGATCAACCTATCATTTCTTATTAAGGTGTAGTTTGCGAACTTAGGGTTGTGGTGGCTAGGTTTCAAAAAGGTATCTTGCACTAATATTACGTCTATATCGTGGTTGCGCAGAAAGAGCTCGATCTCGTCTTTTTGGTCTCTGAGGCCGTTCACGTTAAAGAACGCGACAGGAGCGTGGTTTAGTTCTACGTAAAGATTGTACTGCCATTTTGATTTTTAATTGATGTATTTAGGTGCATTGGATAGACCAGATTGCGTCGATTAGCCCTATGTGCTCCTTGAGCTTATCCTGTGGAGTAGTGGTTCCGCGTAGTTTACGTGTCAAAGAGGATAATTCATCAACGTTAATGTTACTGATGAAGCCACAGACTAGCGAGATGTCAGCGGCGAAGGAGGATGAGCCTTGTGGGACGGGCTTCGATTTTGGGGCCTGGGAAGTCGGCACTGACAGTGCTGACTGCACTGACTAGTGCCGGCGGTTTAACCCAAGTGTTGGGTTTTTGCGCGGAAGGCGCGGGAATGCTAACACCTTGCTCGGCCGCCCCGGTGACTGGGGCGGGCTTCGTGGTGACTTGAGGTGCGGAAGTTGGCACTGAAGGTGGTGCAGATTTGGGGGCAGGCAGCCGAGAGCGAGACACACAGACTTGACCCCCGCGTTCGGGACGGCTTCTACCTCCGCGCTGCTTCCTTCGCGGCGCTTTGAAACACCCGCGATAATTGGCTGGGTGTCCCTCCTCGCTTCAATTGACGCACCACGGGGCAGTCATTGGTGCCGTGGTTACCTAGACGCTTGACGCACATAGGCCTGATGTAACAATTTTCGGCCAAGTGGTCGTATAATTGGCATCGGTGGCACTAGCCAAGGATGCCCCTATGTCGGGGGGCTTCAACTGCAATTCCCATTAGGATGCAGATATGCTGAACGTTAAATATTCCCTTGCCTTCCGGAGACAAGTCCAGAATGACCAGGCATAAATCTAAAAAGCGTTTATTATCGGTCTGGTGGTGCATTTTATGCACCTCCAGGAGATTTTGGACTTTGAGGTCTTTTAATATGTGCTCAGTCTCGAGGTCTTTGAGGAGATCGCGGACGACCACATGAAGTTTACGCTCCTCTGGGAGGGCGTATGTGTGGAAGCTTATTTGCTGGGCGCGAATTAAGTTAACAACAACGACTTTACTAAAAAATATAATTTATTTATATAAAGTAACAGCGTTACAACTTATAATTACTTCCAAAACCAATATCAATCTAACACTCAATTATTCTAGTATTTATATAAATTTACATCTTACTAAGCGATCCGTACGGTGACGCACGGCCTACTTATTAGGAGTGCTTGTAAAGCAGATATTAGAGGGGTCATCACTCTTAACCTCTCCCTCCACAAGAGAAAAATTATTCGAAGGAAACGGAGTTGACTTCGGATAATTTTGTCTCTGACGTAAACTATTAAATTTCCATTTAAATACAATAAAAATTATAATTAACAGTATTACAACATAAAGACTTAAAGTCCATATACTTATTTTACTAGTCACTAAAGTTTCTACCACCATTTCACTATTTCTAGCACTATTCATGATTTCTTTAACGTCACTAAAGTCCACGTTTGTTAAATCCAAACTCTTTTTTTCTTTCGGCATGTCGTACTGCACCTCCGGAATCTTCACAAGTGGTATCTGCAGACTGGCATCTGACATATTACTCGATAGGACAATTATTATTTTTCCTATCTGTATGCTGCAACCTTTGCTCGGCGTCAAGATGTATGTCCCCTGTAGATTAATTCTGTGGGTATCATCTTTGCACTGCTCCGTCAGTATAACATTGTCTTCTGCATATAGTATCCAGTGGTCAAAAGTTATTTTCTGTATTTTCAGCTTTTCTATTTTTATTTCATGTTGCTGGCAATGACTGAAGTTGTTTTTAATCAGCATTATTTCCTCAATGCATATTTCTTCCTCAACTGGTGCTATATTTTCCTCCGAACATAAGTGTTTGTTGGACTCTATCTGGGTACACGGATTTACTACGTTTCTGTATTTCAAACCATTCACTAATAGGTAGGGATATTTAGGAATTATAGTATAGGTGCTGGTTAATTTTTTTATAGGGATGGGAATAATCTTGTAATAGTTATACGTTTCTTTTTCTATTAATGGTATTTCTAAAATAAAAACTAGTTTATCTTTATCTATATAACATTTTAGGATAATGTTACGTTCTAATTTTAATAAGTTATTTCTTGTTACTGGGTAAATAGTTTGTGCATTTTGTTCTATAGTTTTAAAAATGTTTAGTAATTCTGTAGAATTAATGATAGATTGATGTAGGGTGCGTAATTTACTGAATGCTATGGCTGTTTCAATTTCCTGGATATTTTCATAAATGTAACGAAAGTTATTAAGAATTTGATAAAGGCTATTCATTGTACGAATGACATTGTCAGTTTTTGACTCTAGTTTGTCAACTTGTTTAAACTTAAAGTGCAAGTTTTCAACGTTACTATTGATAACCTCAGATACATTGGTTAACGCATTAAACGCTTTTTGCATTGACGATACTTTACGTTCTGCTAAGTTTTCTTTAACTCTCAAATTTGCGATTTCTTCGTTGAATTTGATGGCATCTTCTTCATCTAAATTACCTGATATAATTTTTATTATGGACCCCAAAGGACTCATAATGGCTCTTTTTCTTTTATGGATAGGACTTATTTGATCGTATTTGTCCTGAACTAATTTAACTAACCAGTCTATTTGTTTTTGTATAACTAATAGTTCTTTTTCTAGGCTATTTTCTGTTATAATTGTATTAATTTTGTTGTATATATTTATATTATTATTAATTTGTATTCCTAATGCGTTTATCTCTACTGTTTTGTAAACTGTCCAATAACTACTCCTCATCACTGCTGTTCCATATTTCAGCAGGGTTATTCCCGGGTTCCGCTCCAGATTTTGAAGTTCCAGGCTGTGGATCTGGTTCACAAGTGCCAGAAGTACCAGCCACGACCTGTGGAGGCCGTTTTATATTTTAAGCAGCTACTCTAGTTTTTCTTTTATTTAACTCTACTGGAACAATGTTACGATTTGTTTCACCTATTACTTTTGCTTTTTCATAACGTGGTAATTCCTTAGCTTTCCTTGTCCGAGTTGTTTTCATAAATACTGTATCACCTTCTTTGATTTTTGGTATTTCTTCACCTCCTTTCTTGTCCCTAACTTTGGCTTTATTATCTTTTAGTTTTTCCCCAACATATTCATAGAGTACTTTTAGGCGTTTTCTGTGATCTTGCAATAGCTTTTGCATTAGGTTGTGTTCCCTATTAATATCAAAAATATTACCGCTGTCAGTATTACCGAAAACTATTTCAAAAGGCGTGAATTCCGTTGCTGAATGGATACTATTATTGTATGCCATTATAGCGTATGTCATTACTGAATATGCATCAAGATCACTTTTATCATACTTTGCCAACCTATATATTTCGATTACTGTGGAGTGGAATCTTTCCACTATGGCCATTGAGCTAGGATTATTTGGTGTGCTAATATGAAGTTCTATTTTGTACAGGTTTAAAAGTTCTTTAATTAGTTCATTATTAAATTCAGCTCCGGAATCGCTGTTTATTTTACGTGGAATTCCGTACATACTGAAATATTTTATTAATGCTCTGACTACTTCTGGTGTACTTCTATTGGGAATGTTTATAGCCTGTCCAAGCTTACTGAAAGCATCAACCACAGTAAGGTAATACTGTTTTTCTATAAATAAAAGATCCATGAAGACTTCTTGGAATGGGCTGTATTGATTTTGTGTTGGATAAGAGGTTTTATGGGTTTTCTTTCGTATTTCATTTTTCGACATGGCTCGCATGAATTAATAATGGCTGTTATAGTTTCTTTCATATTTGCCCACCAGTAGTGTCTTTTGATTTTTGCTAAGGTCTCGTTGATACCTCTATGACACGTTTTTCCTTCGTGGTACGCTACAACTACTCGTCTTTGGTCTTGTTCTGAATCGGTTAGATTAACTATTCTGTCTGTACATTCGATCAAATTATAAGTTCCCTTTTTGTATAATTCGATTACTACTCTACTAAAAGATTTCCTGAATTCCGCGTTTTCGAAATAGATATAATATTTATGTTTAAAATCAATATATTCTTTAAGAAACTGTTTGACAAGTCTCTCATTATTTAGAGGCATGTGAACTTCTAGAATACGTTGCTTCTTATTTGAAATATCTTTAACAGATATTTTATCAGTAAACCATGTGGAGACTAAAATTTGACGTGGTTTTGTGTCCATAGCTTCATTCAGGATAGGAATCCCTTCATGTTCCCTGTTTGATATTGAGTTAGCTGTGACACCATCGTCTGATAATTCCATCAGTTCCATTGGTGGCTCAACTTCGATTTCAGAAACAACTATGGATCTTTCACTTTCTGTGTCGTAATTTGATATAACTGATGGTGTTTTAGGTTTCTTTTTTCTAATTGTTACAAATTCGTCGTTTAATTCTTTGACTATTTGTTTTATACGTTCATCTTCATCGTCTATATTAGCTAAAGTTGAATCGAGATCGTTATCTAATGCGTTTAATCTTATTCTTGACAGGGCATCTGCGTTTGTGTTTTGCTGTCCTTTTTTATATTTAATTTCAAAATCGTATTCTTCCAATCTAAGTCGCCAACGGGTTAACTTACTGTTGGGTTCTTTAAGAGAGTATAGCCAGGCTAGATGCCTGTGTTCCGTATAAATAGTAAATTTTTTTCCGTATAAATATAGGTCTGAAATGTTTTACCGCCCAAACTACCCCTAAAAGCTCTTTTTCTATAGTACTATATCTAGTTTCTGTGTCACTTAATGTCCTACTTGCGTAAGCTATTGGTTTATCGTTTCCAATAGTGCCCTGTGATAGAACCGCTCCAATAGCATAATTGGATGCATCGGTTGTTAATATAAAAGGTTTTTCAAAATCTGGGAATTGTAATAATGGAGCATTTGCTAAAAGTTTTTTACAGGTTTCAAAACTTTCCTTATATTCTTCGTTCAAAATTATCTTATTTCCCTTTTTTAAACAAGCTGTAAGAGGTCTTGTTATTTTCGCAAAGTCTTTGATGAATTTGCGATAGTAACCGACTAATCCTAAAAAACATTTGATTTCTGTCACTGTTTTTGGAAGAGGGTACTTAAGTACAGCATCTATTTTATCTGTATTGGGCTTGAGGCCCTCATTAGTTATTGTATGACCTAAGTACAACACCTCTTTTCTTAAAAAATGTGACTTATCCAGCTGTACTTTGAGGTTTGTTCTTCTAAATCTTTCAAAAACGGCTTTAAGTTTTTCTATGTGTTCAGGTAAGCTTTTTGAGAAAATAATGACATCGTCCAAATAGACTAAACAATGTATTCCTTGTAGTCCTCTCAGCACGTTGTCCATTGCTCTTTGAAACGTAGCAGGAGCTGTCTTCATTCCAAATGGCATTCTATTAAACTCATAGTGACCGAAAGGTGTACTAAATGCGGTCTTTGATCTATCTTCTTCTCTGACTTCTATCTGGTGATAGCCTGATGCTAAGTCCAGTGTTGTAAAATATGTACTTTTACCTAACATGTCGAATAGATCGTTAATGTTGGGCAAAGGATATTTATCATCAGTCGTAATGTCGTTTATTCTTCGATAATCGATGACCATTCTCCATTTTTTGATACCCGATGCGTCTAATTTTTTTGGTACTAGATGAACCGGTGCACTCCAAGGAGAGTGAGATTCCTGAATAATGTTATCTTTTAACATTTTTTCTACCTGTCTTTTTATTTCTTCCGTTTGGACTGGTGGTAGACGGTGAGCTTTAATATTGATTGGATCCTCGTTTTTAGTCCTTATCTCGTGTTTTACTTCATTAGTAAATGTTAAGGGTAAATGTTCGCAGTAGAAGATATCTTTATATTCTCTACATAATTTTTCTATCGTATTTTTCTCCTCTTCATTCATATGATCTAACCTCAACTTTTTTAAATTTTCATTAAGTAGTTCGTTTACATCTCGGTGATTTGCAAAATTTAAATTTGTTTCATTGTTTTTCTTTAATAATGTGGCTATTTCAAATGGTTCCACTTTAAAAGGTGACGTAACTACCAGTTTTTGTTCTACGTCAGTACAATTTTGTATTACTGTGGTAGCGAGACTATTTTCACACTTAACCAAAGCTGTCGGCATTCTAACACCTTCGCTAAATTGTACGTGATTCAAAATTGCTTCTCCTTTACTTAGGTTTACTGGTAATGAAACTCTAAGTTCACATCTTGGCGGCAACATATACGTTTTTTTTATCGGTGGTGAATAAATTATAGGAATTTTAGTATTTCTTGTAATTAGAGTTAAGTTTTTCATATCGATAGAAGCATCTAAAACTTTTAATGATTCGCTTCCTATTAAGCCATCATATCTTTCGTCCACACTATAAACGTAAAATTTATGTTTTATTTGAGTTTTAAAAATGCTAGGCAAGGTAATATAAACAACTTCCTCATGTCTACTTGACGCATGAGTGCTGATGACTTCAAAAGGCTCGAATAGCTTAAAACTTTTATAATAATAATTTGCTACCTCCGGGCTGATAAACGATCTTGTGCTCCCCGTGTCTAACATGAAAACTGCATTCAATTCTGGTATACGTATATGAGGCAAATTTAAAATTTTTGTATAATTAATCTCTATTTTTTCCGTATTGTTGAGGCTGTTATAAAAAAAATTCCTATCTGTTCACATTCCCTATCGGCCGTATAAGCGTTAAAATCACCTTGGTTTTGCGAGGTACTTGGTTGAATATTATTTTCAGTGTTTGTATAATTTACGCGTCTTGAACTAGCTGTCCTCATTGTGACGTCAGTACTTGAGTTCGACGACACATGTGGCGCTTGATATTGCATATTATTCGTTGCGTTTCGCGAAAGATGCTGACGGTGTTGCGCCGATGACGGTCGTACTGGCGACCTAGTTGCAGAGTTCGTAATTAAGTTATTTCTATTGTTCATTGTATGATTATTCCCGAAGTGAGGAGAAATATTATTTGAATTAAATGAACTATTTTGGTTATAAGATGGATGGCCGTTTGTTTGAGATTGAAAACTTGGGCCTTTATAATTACTATTACGGTTAAAGTTAGGATGATTTTGGAAATGGTTTTGTCTAAAATTTTGATTAGACCTTGGGTTCCTATTATCATAAACTGTTTGGAAGTTCTGTTCCTCTAAGACTATTTTTAATGCATCTTCTAAGGTAGTAATATTACGTAGTCTCACTAATCTCACTAAATAAGCAGGTAAATTGTATAAGAAAACATTCAATGCCGTGTTGTCGTATATAGTTTGTTTAGCTAGTCGTAAGTCTCGGTTATTAATAGTTTCGTTTATTTTAGAAAACAAAATGCTTTTTAAATGTTGTACCCGGTGACAAAATTCTTGGTAACTTTCGTTTCTATATTTTCTTAGACTTTCTAACTCCATAGCTAAGCATTCTTCGGACCTTGGATCGCCAAAGTGTTGGTTTAGCAACGACTTGAGGTCTGCCCAAGAGTCTATCTGTTCCCTTTCTCCCACTAAATTAGCGGCTTCCCCTGTCAAGCGACTAGTAATAACATGAAATAAATATTCATTTTGTAAATTACTACCTTGGAATCTTTGTAAAATATATTCACATTTTTTTATGAATAAAGGTAGTAGTCTAGCGTCTCCATCAAAAAGTGGGATAATTTTTGTCATCTCTACGGGGATTCTTTCAATGTTTTCCATTTTAAAAATAAAATAACTATCACACACACAAATAAAAAAAAAATATACCCAAATAAAATTGATTTAACTAAGATCTACTAATAAAATTTAGATTGCTTAGTAGAAGAGTATTGTTATGGCGTTTTCTAATCCAAGACAATACCTACGTATAACTAGTACAAGAGGGAACAAAAGGAAAGTTACGGGAAGTGAAGAGTTTTACTCACAGTCTCGCAGGTCTGCCCATGTCCCTCTGGGATATTGCTGGTTCTGGAGTCTCGGCTGTTTCCGCTGTAGTCGCGAAGTCCTTAATTTATTTGTTTGTTCGGTGATATTCGTCAAAGCGTTGAAACGCACGTTGTCGGGATACCGGTACTGGATCACGATGATTATAACCGACGATACAGATTCTCCTAAACAACTACGAATATCCTACCGGCTGCGCCAATTAAGTTAACAACAACGACTTTACTAAAAAATATAATTTATTTATATAAAGTAACAGCGTTACAACTTATAATTACTTCCAAAACCAATATCAATCTAACACTCAATTATTCTAGTATTTATATAAATTTACATCTTACTAAGCGATCCGTACGGTGACGCACGGCCTACTTATTAGGAGTGCTTGTAAAGCAGATATTAGAGGGGTCATCACTCTTAACCCGCGCAGGTGATTTGTTACACTGCGGAATTTCTCGGTCGAGTTAACGAACATACGAATGACTTGTCCAGCGTTTTGCACCTTAGGGCAATAGATTTTTTTGGAGTCCAACCAGTATAATAGGTTGCTCCATTTTGTTTTGTCTTGAATGACAATGGGAGGCGGCGGTTTTTTCCTACGTTCAGTAGGGGACCCATATGCTGCGGGCTTGGCCGCAGGCTTGGAGGCTTTGGCACGCGTCGCGGAAGCTGGCTTTTTGCCCGGAGTGGCGGTGGGGGACGAGGGGGCCGAGTTAGGCTCAGCTGCCTTTTTTGGGGCAGCGCGTTTGCACTTTTTGCTCTGGACTAGGTTGAAAACCAGCGTAAAATAGCAGCTTATCGCTGCTGTGTTTCGTATGGTGAGTGTAGAGAACCGGAGACCCT